ACCTTACACTACGTAGATGTCGGTCTGGCACGTCAGAATCTTATACGTGTTTAAGTAGGCCTTGAGATGTTACAAATAATTATCTTATAATTATGTTATAGGCCTAATTACATTTCAAATGTTCTAGATCATGGTACGACCATGGTGCGACGACCTACAAAGTTTCACCGCGTTTCTGTAGACTAACCTACATGTATGCTCGCTACCTACACAAAGTACGCACCAGCACATGATACAGTGCTGATGCGTTTTATTTATTTATTTTTGGTGTATTTCGGAAGACAAAAGAAACCATTGATAGTACAACGGTTTTGAAAGTGAAAGATCTTCTGCTAAATAACATAAAATTCGCGCTGCACCATACAGCCATTCAAATGGTAAGATCAGAATGTTTTATCTTAGCATAATGCATTTGGATAATGCTGGCCTGATCAATTACACTAAAATTAAATTTTAAGGACATACAGAGGCACATAAAGTCGACCACAAATGATTAAATGTTGTTTTACATATTTAACGGATTACTTGAAGCGAAAAACTATATTTTTACACTTGATAAAATGACCTTTACTGAATTTGTGTAATAACCAATTAACCATGATCGTATTTTTCACAGTGTTACGAGGTCGTGTCGACATGTGAATTCTAAAATAGTAAAGCCTAATATTTCGAGAGAATAGCTGTCAACGTACAAATCTATTCTGAACTCATTCGCTACGCTATTGCGCGTCTTGATGTATAGGGACAGACGATCTATTAATTAGTAATAGTATTAATAAACAGATATAAGCTTTCTATATCACAATAGGACAGCGTGATTTAAAAGCGATAGTTTGGTGACATAAGATCAATAAATCCTGATCACCGTTAACAATTTATCATCAGCGAAGCTTATCTTTGTGTCAGAGTTTTATCTTTGTGTCAAATTTCTCTGTCTATAGACGAACAACGATTCCACCTCGTTGGAAACTCGATAGTGTTTCATTCATTCTGCAAACCCAGTGACTGGGCTTGCAGAATGAATGAAACACTATCGAGTTTCTAACAACGAGGTGGAATCGTTGTTCGTTTACCTAAGAAATACGGTATACAATATACTGTATACAATATTGTTTTTCTATTTTAACCGGCGATCATTTTGTTTGCTTTCTTTGGTAATAATAGGCCTACTTGTGTGGTATTAATTAAGTTTTTTTTTTTCTAGTACGGGTTTCGAAATCGTGTTTTAATTAAAATGACAAATCTCCCGATGGACTTATCATAAACTAAGGCAAAAATTTAAGGTATTATGCGGCATTAAACTGTTTACAATCCTTCGCCCCAGAAGTAGGCGGCCTGTCAAATCAGTACATGTTTGCCGTTAACCATTTTAGCCTAGAAATAAAACCCAAAATCTTAAAGTAATGCAATCTTAAAGTAGATAGGTCTAAAGATTAAAACCAATGAGGTAGTATCCATACTTTTCAAACCTTATCTCGTTTATCATCATCCCGTCTTCTTAAGATCTATAGAGAATCTCGATGTAATGAATAATATGTACCACACCTCAGATGGTCGGAATTGTCAGAAATTATTTTATAATTACGTATTTATGGTTTATACACAAAAATCACGTTTAACAACGTAAAATTATTACCTGGGATCATCATCATCACAAACATTATCATCACCCACCACCTCCACTGTTTCTGATTCTGTGCCTGCTAGTAGGCCTATTCACGCGTCAATAACGACGAGTGAGTCCATTGTTATAACTTGAAGTAAGTATTAGGTTTCAATTTAAAGTTCAAACTAGAGAACAATTTTCTCATTAGTTATAGGATTTGTTTATTATTCTTCCCAGGGACGGCGCTAGCGGGGTACTAGGGGGAAAAGGACCCCCGTCGGGGACCTCTGTATCTGACCCCCCCCCACCTTTTTCCAGCAAGATCGTCGGGGAAAAGTGAAATCTCGACCGCCGAAAGTACAATTTAGGTATGCCTGACTAAGCTGTCAAATTTTAGGGATTAAAAACTGTTAGTGCGAGCAGTACTACCGTATAGGTTTTGTATACTATCGCGAGCTGGGGAGCTGGACCCCTCGTTGGGGAATTCCTGTCGCCGCCCCTAGGTCTTCTTTAAACTTGCACAAATAAACAATAACCACGGAAAAAAAATACGGTTGAGATAGAATCATAAAAAGTGAACTTAATCGCCATCAAAGTGGGTTACTCTCATCGGAACGATGACATAATTTCATGATCAATTTAATACTTACTAGGCCTAAACTAAAGGTGTGAGGACTTTAAACTTATTTTAACTTTGTATTACTTTGTACCGAGGCCTAGCCTAGTTATTAAGGCTTCTGTGGCAATCAATGTTTATGCAGTTTAATGGAAACTCTGACGAACTGGATCTAAAATATTGACATAATTTTTCAGTAAGAATGTTATTGTTTGAATACTGATTTTTGTTCTCAATAAAGGCACATTAACACAACACGACGTGCGTCCAGTTGCGTGCCGACTCGACATCGTTATCCATATGCCTGTATTCTAAAATCCATTTACTTCGCGCAAATGATTCTGAAATATAATACCAGCGATACAGAAATTATGTGAATCTTTATACGTTACGATGGCAAGGAAATCCAAGCTTATATATTATCATGATGCAAGTGAGTATAGCATAGCACATGATAAATGTTTATACGTAATCTAAGAACCATAAAAGCTAACTCTACCAAGTGGCTGTGCGAGGATGTGCCATTATTGTCGACTCTTCATGTAACCTTCACATATGATCGACATTTTGGAATAAGTACTAAACAAGAAATATTTCCTGTAAAAAAAACGCCAACAGATAACCAGGATAGAGCTACTAAATCGGTCTCACTATGGAAAACTGAAAGGAGGGAGGAAGCAGTGCGACCCCTAAGCCAATAATGCACTGAGCCTAGCACCGCCATCCCGAGGGCTTCACATATGATCGACATTTTGGAATAAGTACTAAAAAAGCAATAGAGGTTGTTCATACACAATGGACCTTTAACTGGAGTGTCAATCAAACTTAACTAACCAATCAGAAAGGACAGGAATTTGCGCGTGTCTCACAAGAACACGCGTTGTCCAGAGATTAGTGGTGTTGGCCCACAAACGCACGTGTTTGCGTGTGTTGCGGGACCTTAGCAACAATCTCCAAGGGGTGCCGTGGAGGAGCTTTAGCAGCAGAAAGGTCCATTCATCTTCTCTAATGCATGCACGTGCGCATACGCAGTTTTAACGTAGGCCTATGTGCGTACGTGCTGTACCACATCCAATCACATGATGTAGAGCTTAGGGTGTTTGCAATGTATGCTTACATAATAGTAAATGCAGAATCATCTAAAATCAATAAATTCTGTCTATTAGGCCTAAATGTTCAACTTTGCGATAACTGCAATACACACTGTCACCCGTTTCATTGCGTTGTCCTGAAAATGGAATCACTTGATTCCTAAATATAGCAAATTTTAATATATATATTTTTAGTTGAATAATTTGACCTCCATAAGAAAGAATGCACGGATTTTAATATGTATGACCGTTTCAAAGCTAATTGATTTCGACAACGATCAAAATGCATGAATATTTGTACTAAATTAATTTTTATTTATTTGCTATCCAATCGCCTTAGAATATAGGCCTATTATAATAATGCCAACCAACTAAAGTCTGTGAGAACATGAAACACTTACGTTCTTGTGTGTCCAATGAATAGATGTATTTATATTGACTAGCTTGCGCATTGGGTCAATTCATCGTAACTGTCTCCACAATGTTCAACCTACATAATATATGCGCCTTACATATTATACAGACATGTGATATTTCTTATCATATAGTGTATAATTGCTTTTATATCATAATACTTGTCTATTCTACAAGCTTTATATGTTTTACAATTTTTATAGGAATATTGAAAACCCAAGTACAGTAATGACAAGCTATAAAATTCACCGAGTAAAAAATGTAACGAAACATGGAATCTGTCCTCCAAGCAATCCATATCCTTTTAACAGGATTCTAACTCGGGACTCTTTTTATGATTACGAAAAAAAAGTCGCAGCCAGTAAAAAGCTTGTTTAACTATGTGACATGTCTAATTTTTTAATTGCTGTAGCACTACTGAGGTTATTTTTTAAATTTTCGTTTAAATATAAATAAAACAACGATTGTGAATGACAAGAGGTATACTATACTTACAAAGAGTAAAACCTCAAAATCAACCAACCGGATAATGTACACTATGAGAGAAATCTGACCAATAAGATAGGCCTATTCATAATATATTTTATATATATATATATATATACATACATACATACATACATACATATATATATATACATACATATATATTATAAGAGACAGGTCAAACGGTATTAGATACGGTATATGCCACAAAATTTATTTGAAAATAAAGTGCATGACACTCGCTTTGCTGTAAAACTTGCACGAATTTTACCAGCGACATTTTTTCTACAAAGGCGATTATAGGCCTATGTTGAATGCCTTGTTCCTACCTACTGAAAAAAATTATTCTAAACTTTATGTAATAATAATAATAATAATAATAATAATAATGTTAAACGTGTTTAGCGTTTATGCTAACATTAGGGAGTTTTAGCAAGCTTGCAAAAACGATAACGACTACGGTTACGTCATCAAATGTTTAGGCAACCCTTCCCCTACAGTAGCGTATCTGTTACAACGTAGGCGATTCATGCCTCTTTCATGAATAAAGGATCATATTCAGCTCGTATAACGTATTGTCAAGAATGTTTGAGGCACGAATGACGATAATAATATTTGTATTCGTTATCGTTTTCGTAAGGTTTTGAAATCTCCCTAATGTCTCTAAGCGCCTCACATGTATTGCGTTTGAATACGCTGAAGGTCTATTTGAATTCTCCTCAAGATATAGCACTGATTGTCATGGAACATAGGCCTAATCAAAATTGTATAAAGGAGGCTTACTCACACAGAATAGCAGCAGATAGGAGTCTCACAGCTATCACCGGTTCTTCATCGCAATTATGGAGAAATGGTTCCGTAAGGTACCTTGCAAACGTTACCGATATAATTGCCCAGCTGCCCGTCCGCACCGCTACAATAGACGTCCACACGCGTAAAAATGCAACCAGCGGCCCGAAAGCTTCCAGTAAATATGTATAATCGCCTCCCGATTTGGAAAAAGTTGTGCCGAGTTCCGCGTAGCACAGGGCACCGATAGTTGAGAAAATACCGCACACTATCCATACTACGAGCGACATACCTATCGTTCCCGTATATTCGAGGATCTCTTTCGGCGAAACGAAGATTCCGGATCCGATGATTGTTCCGACGATCAAGGAAATACTCACCGTCATATTAACGTGCCGTAACAGGATGACCAAACTACTGTCGTCACTGCTGTCGCTCGAAACAGTAGCGATCGAATCCGATCGGCGCATGCGAACGCACGGCATCTTGCTTTGATATTATATCCCACTTGTTCCTTCACAAATTGCTAGATTTTTTGTCGCAGATTTTTTTTAAACAACAGATGAAGGTAATATGAGCATGTCAACTATAGTTATCAAGCTGATCAAATACAATTCTCAACATTAGATCGGAGAATTAAATGACGACAGTATCCAAGCCAGGTCGAAACAGCGAGATCCGTCGAACTGCATTTAATGTACAGTATACGGCCGGCATGAATAAGTTTATTTGGTGGATCGCCTGTGTACATATAATTCATTAACGCTTCTTTCTATGTAAGCTCGTTTCGTTCTGTAGTGTAAATAGAGCGCGTATTAAGAGCCGTGCAGGCAGACAAGACGGGAGTATAATGAGCAGAGGCAAACAAGCGAATGCTGCTCCCAGCCTTATCCAGCACACTGTCGTCTAATGATCAGTTTATAGCATGCCATGGCTTTTCAACTGCAAAGTATTGCTCACTCTGATTGGTAATTTTCAAAACGGTGTTAGGCACTCAGTCATTCTGGCAAATCGAGGCGGAGTTAGATGCATGCGGATCAGGTAACCAGCACAATAAATGAGACCGTTTTAATACTATAAACAAATTTACACAACATTAACAGTAAACTTTGATACAATACGGCAAGATGTTTTAAATATTTAATTAAACAGATAAGAATATTGAAAAACGGAATGTTTCACGTTGTAAAATATTGGCAAACATTTACATTACTTGGCAAATAGCTATATAT